GAGAAGAACTTCCATAGCTGACCACCTCCGTAAGTTCACCTAATTCTCATAGACTGGACATGCACCACATGTACATATCAGTACAGTAGGCCTAGTTTTTATGTTGACCACCTCTGTATGTTGACCCATTTGTGACAGTCCTTTGAGTGGTCAACTTACAGAAGTTCTACTGTATTTTGAAAATTGTTTTGTTTTGTTTTTGAGACAGAGTCTCACTGTCAACTTCAGTAGAGTTCCATGGGGTCATCGCTCATAGCAACCTCAAACTTTTGGGCTTAAGTGATCTTCTTGCCTCTGCCTCCCAAGTAGCTGGGACTACAGGCACCAGCAATAACACCCCTCTATTTTTAGAGATGGGAGTCTTGCTCTTGTTCAGGCTGGTCTTGAACTCCTGAGAGAGTTCAAGCAATCTGCCTGCCTCAGCCCCCAGAGTGCTAGGATTATAGGCACAAGCCACCATCTCCAGCCGGTATTTTGAAATTTTATATAAAATTTATATATATACATGTACATATATATATGTACATATAGGCTGTCCAGAAGTTATCCACCCATTATCAATACATTTTTTTCATATTACTTGGAGACCATCCCATGAGGAAATACAGTGATTTTCCTACATCTTTTCCTTTGCTTTGCTTTTATATTTTCACAGTACTCCATTGTATAGCTATGCAGTGCTTTTTTTTGTTTGTTTGTTTTAAAGAGACAGGGTCTTGGGCAGCGCCTGGGCTCAAAGGAGTAGGGCGCCGGCCCCATATGCCAGAGGTGGCGGGTTCAAACCCAGCCCCAGCCAACAACTGCAAAAAAGGCTTGGCACCTGTGGCTCAAGCAGCTAAGGTGCCAGCCACATACACCTGAGCTGGCAGGTTCAAATCCAGCCCGGCCCACCAAACAACAATGATGGCTACAACCAAAAAATAGCCAGGCGTCGTGGTGGGTGCCTGTAGTCCCAGCTACTTGGGAGGCAGAGGCAGGAGACTCGCTTAAGCCCAGGAGTTGGAGGTTGCTGTGAGCTATGACACCACAGACCTCTACCTAGGGCGACAGCTTGAGGCTCTGGTCTCAAAAAAAAAAAAAAATGAGACAGGGTCTTGGGCAGCGCCTGTGGTTCAGTGAGTAGGGCGCTGGCTCCATATACTGAGGGTGGCAGCTTCAAACCCAGCCCCAGCCAAACAGCAACAAAAAAAAAAGAGAGAGAGAGAGACAGGGTCTTACTATGTTACCCAGGCTGGAGTACAGCGGCTGTTCACAAGTGCATGCCATGGTGTCCAGCTTGTGATGCTTTTTATGCCTCTACTGACAAATATTTGTATTATTTCTTTTCTTTTGTTTTTCTTTTAGTTTTGTTTTGCTTTTACAAACAGAGCTGCCATATATTATTTTGAATACAGAATTTTGTAGGGATGCAGGTACAGTATCTTTCTGGACACATTCCTAGAAGTGGGACTGCTCTATACTTCGTTTGTTTCTTTGTTTGTTTGTTGAGACAGAGTCTTGCTCTGTTGCCCCAGTTAGAGTGCAGTGACGTCAATATAACTCACTGCAATCTCAAACTCCTGTGCTCCTACCTCAGCCTCCCAATTAGCTGGGACTACCGGCACTCGCCATAATGCCCAGCTAAATTTTTCTATTTTTAATAAAGATGGGGTCTCACTCTTGCTCAGGCTGGTCTCAAACTCTGGAGCTCAAGGGATCTTCCCACCTCCACCTCCCAGAGTATTAGCTTACAGGCAAGAGTCACTGCCCTCACCCTGTTTTGTATCTTTTTAAACAATTATGTGTATCTGTTCCACTGTAGGTTCTTTGGAGGTAGGTATCACCCCATGTTTTAATAATCTAAAAATCAAGGGGCAGCTCCTGTGGCTCAAAGGAGTAGGGCACTTACCCAATATACCAGAGGTGGTGGGTTCAAACCCAGCCCAAGCCAAAAACTGCAAAAAAAAATTAAAAAAAAAATCTGAAAATCAAATTCTCTGTCCTTTTATTCCTACAAATATGAATTTTTTTTAAAAACTTTGTGACATTCTTTGGACCTCTACCCCTCTCCCTTTTACTCTATCAGATACCATCTATATGGGGCTGAAGGTCCAAAGAAAGAGTGAGGAGTCTGCACGGATAAGCTTGGCCACAGTGGATGCATAACCAGTGATGTGCAACACCTGCAAAGCACCAAACGAGGCCAGAGGGAAGAAAACCAGAATGAGCTTAAAGACCCTGCTCTCTGGAACCTCCACATTTTATTTAAGAGGAAAAAGTAAATGCACCTGCAGGCTGACATTTTATGACTTGTAAGATTTCAGAAAAGAAAGATCAGTGGGTGGCGCCTGTAGCTCAAAGGAGTAGGACGCCAGCCCCATATGCCGGAAGTGGTGGGTTTAAACCCAGCCTTGGCCAAAAACTGCAAAAAAAAAAGAAAGAAAAGAAAAAGAAAGATCGGTGTGGGTCTGAAGAGGTCAAGGGTTTGGGGGCCCTAAAATTGATGGCGGAGAGTCCCTCACTTCTTTCTAACATGTACAATTTGCTGGAAAGTTTGTATTAGTATTCCCTTTAATTTTCACACTGCCCCTCTAAGACGGAACATTCCATTTTAGAAATCTATAACTGAGAATCCAGAGTTTAAGTAATAGGTTACAAAATCATCCAGAAGCAAAGGCTGGGTGGACACCTGGGACTGCCTGCTTATCGCCTTTCCACCATGTTTCTATTATCCCACCTCAGGACTCCTAAGAAAGGGGAGATTTTAGGCTTGGCACCCGTAGCACAGTGGTTACAGTGCCAGCCATGTACATTGAGGGTAGCAGGTTCGAACATGGCCCAGGCCAGCTGAACAACTGCAACAAAAAAATAGCCAGGTGTTGTGGCAGGAGCCTGTAGTCCCAGTTACTTGGGAGGCTGAGGCAAGAGAATCACTTAAGCCCAAGAGTTTGAGGTTGCTGTGAGCTGTGATGCCACAGCACTCTACCCAGGGCGACATAGTGAGATTCTATCTCCAAAAAAAATAAAATAAAATAAGAAAGGGAAGATTTTGAATGGATCGTGAGACTGGGAACAGTGCTTTAAAACAGTGGAGAAGCTCCTTTCCCAGCCCATCTCAAAAAATCAAAATTGTCCCCTTTAATCTACCCTGTACCTCTTACTCTCCCTCTCCCTACAATAACTCCAAGAATAGGAGAGGAGGGAAAAAGAAATTGCCTTTGTCAGGGGGGCTTGGTGGCTCACGCCTATAATTCTAGCACTCTGGGAGGACAAGGTGGGCAATTGCTTGAGCTCATGAGTTCAAGGTCAGCCTGAGCAAGAGAAAGAACTTGTCTCCAAAAAAATAGGTGGGTGGTGTTGTGGGCACCTGTAATCCCAGCTACTCAGAAGGCTGAGGCAAGACGCTTGAGCCCAAGAGTTTGAGGTTACTGTGAGCTATGATGCCATAGCACTCTACCTAGGGTGACAAAGTAAGACTGTCTCAGAAAAGAAAGAAAAGAAATTGCCTTTGTCCTTCTTGGGCCCTTCTCCTAGGGTCTTTGTCTTTCCACCATTTACTGTTCCCACACTTATCCCATTCATTTAACAATTTTTTTTTTTTTTTAAAGACAAGGTCTTGGGTGGCGCCTGTAGCTCAGAGGGTAGGGTGCCAACCACATACACCTAGGCTGGTGGATTTGAACCTGTCCTGGGCCAGCTAAACAACAATGACAACTGCAACAAAAAAACAGTGGGGCATTGTGGTGGGCGCCCGTAGTCCCAGCTACTTGGGAGGCTGAGGCAAAAGAATAGCTTAAGCCCAAGAGTTGGAGGTTGCTGTGAGCCATGATGTCACAGCACTCTACCAAGGGCGACATAGTGAGACTCTGTCTCAAAAATAAATAAATAAATAAAAACATATGTTGGGGCTCGGCGCCTATAGCTCAACCAGCTAAGGCGCCAGCCACGTACACCTAAGGTGGCGGGTTCAAATCCCCAGCCCGGACCGCCAAACAACAATGACAGCTGCAACCAAAAAATAGCCGGGCGTTGTGGCGGGCGCCTGTGGTCCCAGCTACTTGGGAGGCGGAGGCAGGAGACTCGCTTGAGCCCAGGAGTTGGAGGTTGCTGTGAGCTGTAATGCCACGGCACTCTACCCAGGGGGACAGCTTGAGGCTCTGTCTCAAAAGAAAAAAAACAAAAAAACATATGTTGGGCAGCGGCTGTAGCTCAGTGAGTAGGGCACTGGCCACATACACTCAAGCTGGTGGGTTCAAACCCAGCCTGAGCCAGCTAAACAACAATGACAACTGCAACAAAAAAATAGCCGGGCGTTTGTGGCAGGCGCCTGTACTCCCAGCTACTTTGAAGGCTGAAGCAAGAGAATAGCTTAAGGCCAAGAGTTTGAGGTTGCTGTGAGCTGTGCCTCCACGACACTCTACCGAGGGCCAGAGTAGACTCAGCACATTGTACCCCATAAATGCATTAATGTATACATGATCTCTGTGCTTATGATTTAATAAAAATAATAAGAAGAACAATGTTTGGGGGGCACCCGTAGCTCATGCTTAGGGCGCCAGCCACATGCACCAGGGCTAGTGGGTTCGAACCCGGCACGGGGCTGCTAAACAAAAAAAGAAAAATAGCCGGGCGTTTGTGGCAGGCGCCTGTAGTCCCAACTGCTTGGGAGGCTGAGGCAGGAGAATCTCTTAAGCCCAACTGTTGGACGTTGCTGTGAGCTGTGACGTAACAGCCTCTACCGAGGGTGACAAAATGATACTGTCTCAATTTAAAAAAATAATGTATAATTGGTGGAGAAGTGTCTGATTATAAAAACACTCGATTCAACAGTGAGGGAGAAGGAACAACGTAAATCCAATCCCCAAGTAGGGGCGTAGCAAAGCACCCCTCAGTCTGCAGAGAAAACAATCCTGTCTCTGACCAGATTCAGTCCAATGGGATGCAAGGAAAAGGAAAGTCCCGCCTCGCTAGCAGCTACAGGCCAACGGGCGCCGCGGGGACTTATCGCACTGCGCAGGCGGGTGGCTCTTCCAGTGATGTCCGCAGATCCCGAGGCCTGGCAGCTGCGCCTCAGTGAGAAGGACGCCCTCCAGCCCGCCCTCCTGCGCCCCCTCGTCCTGCTGCTGTGCTTGCTGGGGGCGGCTCGTTCCGGAAGCCAGGCCTGTGAGTGCGGGAAGCAGAGTGTGCGGGGCTGTACTCGGCCTCCCGGCCCTGCTGAGCGGCCCCACCCCTTCAAGGCCCCACCCCCAGCATCACAGTGAGAGGTCTGCCCTCCAGGGAAACTGAGGCTGAGTTCCCCCACACTCCCCATCACCAGCGGCCTAATAATGCCACGCGGGGAGCTGAGTTGTAGGGAGGATTAAATTGTCTTCCCCTTTCAGAAACCATACCTTCCCCCCGAAATGTGGCCTTTATGAGGTCGGTGAAGAGCATTTCCTGGAACCCGGGCTCGGAGATCTGGGGAGGTGGCGGCTCGGAGTCTGAGAGAAAATAAGTTCAGGCTTAAGGAGCAAGGTTTCCACTGAGATGGGTTGCTTCTTGTAAATAAGTGCCCTGATCCTCTCCACCACATATGAACCTTGAACTTGACTCCTGCCTGCGGTTAGTTTTGCATGGAAGGAGATGAAAAGAGAAAAAGTGAATGTTCTATAAAATTGATTTTTGCAGTGCTAACTTACTGATCAGCAACTTACTTCTTGCTTGCCATGGGGGAATGCAGAGACGAATAAGGTCTGAACTTAAGGCTGGGCACAGCGGCTCAAGCCAGTAACCCTACCACTCTGGGAGGCTGGGGCAGTAAGATTGCCTGAGCTCAGGAGTTTGAGACCAGCCTGAGCAAGAGCAAGACCCTGTCTCTACAAAAAATAGAAAAATTAGCGGGCGGTGCCTGTGGCTCAAAGGAGTAGGGCACCAGCCCCATATGCCAGAGGTGGTGGGTCAAAAACTGCAAAAAAAAAAAAAAAAAAGAAAAATTAGCGGGTCATGGTGGTGCATGCCTGTAGTCCCAGCTACTCACTCAGGAGGCTGAGGCAAGAGGATTACTTAAGCCCAGGAGTTTGAGGTTGCTATGAGCTATGATGCCATGGCACTCTACCCAGGGTGACAGAGTGAGACTGTCTTTTTTTTTTTTTCTTTGAGACAGAGCCTCAAGCTATCCCCCTGGGTAGAGTGCCGGAGCATCACAGCTCACAGCAACCTCCAACTCCTGGGCTCAAGCGAGTGTCCTGCCTCTGCCTCCCAAGTAGCTGGGACCACAGGCGCCCGCCACAACGCCTGGCTATTTTTTTTTTTTTTTTTGGTTGCAGCCATTATTGTTGTTTGGCGCCTGGGCTGGATTCAAACCCGCCACCTTAGGTGTATGTGGCTGGCGTCTTAGCCACTTGAGCCATAGGCACCGAGCCTGAGACTCTGTCTTAAAAAAAAAAAAAAAGAGAGAGAGAGATCTGAACTTAAAGGGTGTCTGGTCTGTCGAAAAAGAACTACTGAGCAGATTAGTGTAAGTATAAGCAGAATGTGTAGGGACTGGAGTTTCCCAAAAGAGGGAGTGAATTGTAGAGTTGCAGAAAGGCTTGAGAGAAGTGGCTGGAGTTCAGTGTTGGAAGACAAGCCCGGTTTTGAGTAGACAAAACTGGGAAGGGAGTCACTGCAGGCAACAGAAGCAGCCAGAGTCGGGTTCTGGGTACTCCAGGTAGATCCACAAAACTGGGGAGCAGGAGGTACAGGCTGAATCAAAATGTATTGGTTGTTGGAGAGCTCATCTCTGTCTTTGCTTTGTGGGTTATTTACTAACATTAAGCCATTGAACTGGACCTTATCCCTCCATGATAGGTGGGTCTGTTTTCCCAGGTTACAGAGAAGAAGAGGTTTACAAGTTGTTGATTTCCCTAACTTCACCTACTGATATGTTGGTGAGTGAAGGATGTCAAACAAAGTATTTTGGATTCCAAATCCTAGGCAAGTCCCAGACTCCTTATATGAGACAGGCCAAGAAACTGATTGTGTTTCTGGAAAGCAATGGTGAAGTTCTCATTAAAGGAGACCTTCAAGCAGGGCAATAAGATGACTGTACTTGTGTTTGGAAAAGAAAACCTTGGCAGCTGTGTGCAAGAGAGATGATAGGAGCTGTAAGAGAAACAGGAGCATTGACAAGTCCAGAGGTGGGTGAGTTTCTTCAGGCAATACTTACAGAATGAGCAGAGGATGGAGCTAAGGAAGTGATTCAGAAAACCCTATATAGTCACTGCTCAGGCGCTGGACCCATTAAGGAGGCTAAAGAGAGAAGTCAGTTCCCCAGGCAGAAGACTGACAGGAGAAGGGGGACTCGAGAGTCACAGGCTCCTGAGAGACCACATTGGACAAGGGCTGAAAAGAGTGGCTTTGGCAACTATGCCTGGAGACCTCAGCCAGATGAGCACCATGCTGAGGTGGGGACAAAAGCAAGATTTGATGGGCCATATGTTAATCTGAAAAACTGAAAGAAAAAAAAAAGTTATATAACAGTAGAATCTCATTTTTGTTTATAGCAGGTTACTCTCTTTTTTTTTTTTTTGAAACAGAATGTCACTCTGTCACCCTGGGTAGAGTGCCTTGGCATCATCTTAGCTCACAACCTCAAAGTCTTGGGTTCAAATGATCCTCTTACCTCAGCTTCCTGAGTAGCTGGGACCACAAGCTCCTGCCACCATTCCTGGCTAGTTACTTCTTTTAGTAGAAATAACTTTAGAGACTACTCTTTCTCAGACTGGTCTCAGAGCCCAAAGAGTTTGAGGTTGCTGTGATGCCATGGCACTCTACTAAGGATGACAAAGTGAGACTCTGTCTCAAAAGAAAAAAACAAAATAGCCTGGAAGAACATGCACCAAGCTAACAACAGTGGGTTATTTTCAGGGCAGGGTTGTTGGAGGGACTATCACTTCTTGTTGATATTATTCTGAGATAGGTAATGTTACTTTAATCAGAAAAAGTTAAATAAAATATATTGCTAATTGAAAGTGAGTGAGGGCTCGGCGCCTGTGGTTAAAGTGGCTAAGGCACGAGCCACATACACCTAAGGTGGCGGGTTCGAATCCCCAGCCCGGGCCCGCCAAACAACAATGATGGCTGCAACCAAAAAATGGCCAGGTGTTGTGGCGGG